ATCGGGGGAAGGGGGGGGGATTATGGGTTGTTTTCAGATAATATCCTAAAACTGGCAAAGTGTAATTAAGGAAGTTGAGGTAGATGGGAAATTTAGAATGTGGTGAGTGTTGAGAAGTATATAAAATATTTTACTCATAAAACCTGCAGAGAAGAGGCCACTTACAGTACCTAGGCACATATGGGAGCATAAGTAAATATGGTGTGGTTTGGAATGAAGTCATCTGGCATAAGATAAGTGCCATTGGTGAGCTGTTGTGAGCCCACTCATAAACCTTTTGGTTCCACTAATTGGCAAAGAAAATTAGCTAATCCTCGAAACAAATAAAATGAATAAAAGCTCCATTAGGCTTTGTCAGTTTGTTTCCATTTTATCATGCTTAGTATATTCCTTGTTACCACCACACTATAGCTCAACCTCAGAGTGGTTGAATGAGATGGGCAGATATAAGGTAAGATCCTAAGATTTAGTGAAAAGTATTCAACAAAAGTGGTCACCAGCAAGAGATACCATGGATGGCAGTGGTCAAGGTGAGTCAATTATCATACACCATTATGATTTGTTCAAAATACGGGCTTAGGGATTGGCGATTTATATTGTGAATAATAATGATTTGTCTACTTCGATCAAAGATGTTTATTGGTGGTGGGGGGGGTGGAGATACTTTCCGCCAAGACATGCACAAGCAGACCGACATGTGTTGCCATCTATTCGGCACATCGTTGGTGGTTGATATTAATATACAGTTTGTGTTTTCTGTGAAGTAAGCGTTCAGCATTATCTGTGCACACTGTGCTGCGCACTCATTCGAAGAGGTGCTAGTAGGTGGCATGGGTTTAAATCAATACATTGTGGGTTGATAAACTGTATATGTGGCTTTCTAAACGAAGTTAGCATATTTTGGAAGTAATTATTACAGTCACAGTATAGTATAGGGAATTACGTGTCTGAAGGATGGTATTAATTGGTTCTATATTTTTGGTTCGGGAAGAATAATCGTAGTTTAGTCGCTTTTTTAGCTTCTTAGTTTCGACGTTTGCCGGGTTAAATTTGTGTATTTATTTGTATGAGCTTATTCAGTTTTATGTGATTTTAATGTTTTTCAACTTAATTAAGCACCGAACATTGTGACAATGGCGTGAAACCAGTATCTTTTACATGATGCGTGAACAAACGTTACTGTCATAAACTACTCGGTTGTCAGAAGTACGTGACTTTTGCCATGTGAAATCCAGCTGGTACTGCTCTGTTCGCCGGCACTAAACCCACTAATTGATTGGGTTTGTTTGACTTCCTACTGTCCTGGTTTGTGGGTGATAAATCGGCTATGCACTTACATTTTGAGCGCAATACCAATGCGAAATGTGATTGTGCCATCCTTTCCCTGACATGGATGGGGAAGGTGCCTGATGAGCTACCAGAAGTAAGTGTAAAATCGGTGGTATGACTGTAGGCTATATGATAGTAATTGCAATGTGTATTGCTACAGCACTCCGTTTTATAATGTTAAGAATCATATACAAAAAATTACAATTGTTGCATCTTACAGATATGTAAACAACATAAGCACACAAAAAATCGTTATTATTATAAGGAACTGAGATTTTGTAACTTTAATGATTGCAGTGGAATACACAACATGATGGCCATGGGTAATAGGAATTTGTGTTTTGTCTAGTAACCAAGAAAACCGATTCATTGACATTTTAGGGAACAAATGAGTGAAATTAAGATATGAGGTTTTCACAGTGGTGAGTATGAAGATTTCAGTCTTCTGGGTTGTTCCACTGTGTAGTCTGGTCGATGTTTACTAACGTTTCAGAGGTCATACTGCCTTCGATGAATTCATCGCCCTGGTGACGGAATTAGTATGACCTCTGAAACGTTAGTAAACATTGACCAGACACAGCGCAACAACCCAGAAGACAGAAATCTTGAAGTGAAATTAAAATTGAGTTATAGCTAGTTATGTTATTGTAATGTTCTGAAGGATTACTGGAAATATTTTGTGTGTATTAATATTCTGAAGGATTTTTGAGATTGTTTTGTGTGTGTGAGTGAAGGAGAATTGAGTGAGAATGGGGGGTGGGGGTAGAACCTTGGTGGCAATTTTAAGTGTTGTGTTGTGTCTTAGTCATAGGTTTGATTCAGAATGAGGTTTGAAATATACTTGTTTATCTCCTTTAACTTACCATAGGCAGGCTCACATTGAGTGATGGTTTAGCCTTACATTAAGGTTTTCTTTTTTGGTTTTCCATGCCTGTGAATGTAATAAGGACCTCAGACTGAGGCAGAATTCTGGCTGTAGTTTGGAGGACAGAGAAAAGAATGTTACAAAGAGCCATTATATATGGAACATTTTTGTAAAAATTACATGATTAGAACCCAGGAAAATTAAAATTGTGACCTTGAATATTTTGCTGATTTTGATTAATTCTGCGTGAAAGTTAAGTGTGTTACAATGTAATATAATAATGCTTCAACTACATTCCAGATGTTTTCTATTTGTAAAATAGAGACAGTATGGGTACAGAAGCTTTTATGTTGTTTCAAATTGAAAAAGGAAAACTTTATTTTCTTGAAGATAAAAAATTGTACTATTTTGTAGGCAGTAAGATTCATGTCTGACAGTTGTATTTTATGTGATGGTCTGTTTTGTCATTGACATTTTTGATAGAATTATTTCAATAGTCCATTTCATTTGAAATATCACATCTTCAAAGTATTTCAGTATCCCAACCAGACATCTTCTGTCATGTTCATTTATACATTAACCATTCTTTTTTGCCATTATATTAGTGGATTTGTGATGCATACTTTTCTTTAAATTCTTTTGTTCTTGCAAAAAACTAGAGATTAATACTTATCTCTGCATGCAAATGTTTTGCTTGTGTATAATTACTATACCATCAGTGTTATATTAAGTGTTGGAAATGTCTGCTGCCTTCGGCAATGCATGCATTCATGCTTTTCCTCATGTTTGATGCAACCTGGTGAAGAGTTTCTGCAGTGAAAGAAATGGTTCACCAGATTGTTGATTTGTTGGCACAGGAGAACTCAGATGTGTATCTCTAAACTTATTAAGTAAGAATGAGATGCCAGGTAGTGTTTGACAGTGAACACTTGTTGCACTTGTGAAATGAAATCCTTGCACTTTTACTGTTGAAAGGTAACTGATGGACTTGCATGAGCAGGTAACAACATGATGTGTTCTGTATGAGCTATTGTATAGTCACAGTGATATGCATGTTTGTTAATTCAATCAAAGTGTACTGAATTGCAACTTCCAACAGATATTTCAATATAGGTTGCATGACTTCTCAGTCATTCTCTTTATTTTTATAGATCAAAAGACAGTTTACATTCAAGACAGTAATATTTCCTGATTTCTTGTGTAGTGTGAAAGCAAAATAAGTTGTTTTGACTACTATATTTATTGAACAATAGCTTATTTGTAAAAAATTCTTTATTGATAGTAATAACTAATTTTAAAGGAGAAAAATGGAGGTGTTTATCACTGTTACTTGATATTTAAAGTTGTTTCATCTTGTACTTAATATCCTTATTATGTGGTTCCTGTCCAGATTGTTTTGTTTATATTATGGAATGGTACTATTTTGCTGTATTGTTTTGCTGCTCATGATAGATGCCTTATTCAGTAATTTTATGTTTTGTCTTTCCATTACTGGTCATGCTGTATGGATAAACCTGTCACAATAAATTATCTTCCCTTTCCATTATTTTTGTTCATTTATTGTACTTCACTTCCGCATTTCTTAATTTTGTTTTTGCTGTTGCATCTACTCAGTAGCTTTTGTCTTGTAGTAATTTTATTTTAAAATAAATAAGTAGATTTCGTAGATATGCATTTTTATTTTTAACCTTGCATCCTGGAGTATTTAATGTACTGTTTGTTTTATGTTTTTCAGTGTATATAGTTGACTCTATAATTTCTTATGTATTTAAGGGGCTGTAATGCTCAAAACTTCACCAAATCCGGTTTTAATGTTTCTTACCAAAATGTAAAAGAGTGTTATTCCTCGTTCTAATTCTAGCAGATAAGACCACACGTATTTTCCGCATCTTTATATTGTGTTTGTTAAATTCTGTATTCATTACTCATCTGCGCATAGGTCTTTCAAGTGGCCTCTTCCGTTCAGTTTTCGGACTGTCATTTTGTATTAATTCTTAATCTCTAACGTGTCACTTTTTTTATGAATGGTATCCATGTGCAGGTAGTGTATAAGTATACATGGTCCGTGCTGAGGAAGACGTAGTGGCTTTAGCGTTAAATCGCCGATTCCCCTTGCTTTAACTTCAGTTATTCCAGCGTCGAGAGGTATTCCTCATTCTACACGTAGAACTTCTGTAGATTTCAAACGGAGCAGGAAATTGGAAAATGACAAATTAAGGAAGGCGTAGAGTAACAGGAAGTGAATTACAAATAAAACGCCAGTGCATTTGAGTATCCAAATAGATTATCCGTGCGGCTTCTGTAATTGAGTTTTGCATTTTTAGTGAATTCTTAATGAAATTAAAATCGTAATTTGCTGTCCATTCGATTTTGCTTTGAATATTAAAGAGTTTTTTTCACAGCAGGAGTATGCTACAATTTATGTCCCATCAGTGTTTACGTATTATCGTTTAAGGCTGGTTCCAAACGATGCTGTATAGATGCAGATTAGTAACGTGTAATTTATGTATATTACATAGGCTGAGAGAAAATGAAGGAGCATTTACATAGACTAGACTCTAGTAAGCAGAGAAAGGATCGAGTAGACGTCCAAAGATGTACAAATTAAATCTCCGAGGCGGCTGTGATTATGTAATTATTGTAATGCTGATGGGCGAAAAAATAAACACCATAAAGAAAAAGACATTACGATTAGACATAAAAAAGAGGTTGGTCTGCAAATACACACAGAACTTACGTGACTCCTAGTGTATGTAAGAAAAATTTCGAGTAAGATGTTAAATAAATTCTTTGATAATGTGGCAGAGTGAAAGTATTTTGGAATGACAACATTAAAATTGCATACACAGTTATGATAGTCGGCTTTCGTAGTAAGAATTGAAAACGGTAGTACCAAAATGTGATACTGATCCTCGCCACAGAGACACAGTAGGTTTATACTTTATTTACGAAATTAGGCTACAGGGTTTTAGGACACTGTGCTGAGGAGAATATTTGTTCCTAAGAGGAAAAGAGTAACAATAGATTGGAGGAACTGCTTGATGAGGAATTTTATAACTTGTACTCTTCTCCAGATATTGTTAGGATAATAAACTCGAGGGTGATGAGATGGGCGTGGCTATGTCACATGTTGGGAGATGAGAATTTCACCCAGAATTATGGTGAAGCTGAAGGGAAGAAACCACTTGATGAAACTAAGCACAGAGGGGGGATATATTCAAATGGATCTTGAAGAAATACAGTGTGGCCTAGATTTAACTGAAGTTAGAAGGTTTCCGACGAAGTTGCGTTTTGAAAAATCAGGTGCAAAAAGTTGTTGACAACGATGTTTTCAGGCAGGAAATAACTCATATTTTATTTATTTATTTATTTTTTGCCCAGGAATGTATATCTTCTTCAACTCAAACCCGTCTGTGAAAGATAAGTCACACACTGTAATCTGTCATAGAGCAATGCGCCGTATTTCTTTCCCGCATATTGAATATTCTACTAGTACTTTCCCTCCCTGCCGTCACCCCATCCCCTATGCTTTTTTTTATAACCGCTAGCTTTTCGCCTGATTCTCTGCTTCCTGCAGGGAGATTTGGGGAGAAATCCTTCCCTCCTGGGAAGTCATAGCATTGAATAAAAGAAGGAGTTTAGGGAATACACAAGAATGCACACGACTGGGTGAAGGCCCTTTAACTCCTTGAATCGTAACAAAATTGCAAAGAGGAATTTGGCAAGAATACGATTTACAGTTCGGGTGTTATCGGGAAGAATAAGTGTGCTTCACGTGGTGATACCGTCTCTCCAGTCGCCCATATTGTCTGTTAATTTACGTGTTTGCTACTGCTAGAAGCACGTGCAAGTCGCCTGCAATGGGGCTTGTTACCATGTTCGTAAAAGAAATGTATAACTGAAATTCCTTTCCGACAAGACTGAAAACCTGAGTCCGAAACATAAGTAATCTTATTAAACTCGTAGTTGAAATTCTTTAAAACCACCGCATGCGATGAATTATTTAAAATCCAGTCCTTAACAGTTTGGTTATAGGTTAAATTTTCGTAATATAAAGACGTTCATTAGTATTTGCTGCAGTGTCTGGGGTTTGTCTTTCCATGAAGTCTGTTGCAAGGTATTTGCACATGAGCCAGGTAAAGGAGGTCATGTATTCCCATGACGCCTATAATTTGACTGTTGAGTGTACCCATGAACTGTTGACATGATGGACAAAGTGAAACCAAGAGATGCTTCTTTCTAAATTAGTTTCCCTTCTCATTACATTGGTGTATGTTTGTCACAAGAGCTTTTCTCGTAATCGTTGCCAGTATAAACTGAATGTGAGCGATGTAACTGAGAAAGAGATGACGCAACTTTGTTAATTAATGCACGAAATTGGCGCTTTCAACCGCCGGAAATTGAAAACGTGGAGGAATGAGGAAGTTTTTGAAATAACCCAACCCTGCTTCACTGCTGCTGTCCTGCAGGCAGATAGACATGGTTTGGGCATGGGAGGTTTTCTATGGAGACAGGAAATTCTGTATTCTGCTATGAGTAATTCGCCGGTGCCAGGGCAAAGGTGTTTAAAACCAAAAAGAAAGACCGGTTGCTAGTTTACAGCCTATGTTTAGTATTACATGTAATTTAACAATATTATCACTTTAGCCTTAAATTCATGTGTAATGTGTACAATCACATTTCTGTTTTTTTAAACCAATACACTTTCAGAACTTTTATGACTTTTACCCATTTTCCCTATTCTTCAGAACAAACTTCAAACCTTCAGACTCGTTCATTGTATTGAAATTAATTTTTTAGCCCTTTAATTCCGAAATACACGTAAATGGTTCAGCGATGCTATTCGAAGCTTCTATTACGTTTTCTATAGTGATACACCAGTTACATTCGAACTTGTATCTGCTGAAAAGGTTACAACTTGTCCCTGTGTTCAAAAAAGCACCACGCTTTATGAAGACGTATGACATGTAGAGATGCAGCTTCACAAATTCTAAGGCTTGGCACTAAATTAACGTGAGTGGTCAGCTTCTTGGCCTGGCTGCTTTGCCTCGGGGAACG